TTTACTTGAGAAAAGATGTCAACCATGAACAACAACTACGCCATAATAAGCTCGGCTGACAGCCATATTAGCATGCTCTGCTAGAAATTAACTGGGGATGCTTCTGCTTCAGTTTTCCAGTAAAAAAATTAGCTTAACTATAAATAGAGACTTTAGGATTACATGTCTGATATTTCGGCACTGCAAACTTCACAGAATTGAGTTAAGGAAAGAAAACACAAGATTAAATAGAAAGAAGCAAGTACCAAGTAAACAGAAACTTCAATTGTTTTCATGACAAACATTATAAAAAAAGAAAGAAATTCTCATCTATAACAGCACAATTCAGTTTAATTAAAGTCCAGTGTTCCTACCATAGAAGTATGTCGACAAAATAGTGATGCGTTCTGTAGGCTGAAATCAGAAAAGGAATCAGATTTAGAATACAACTAAATGAAAAAGTATTTAAACTAATAATTGTAAAACTAGAAGCTAAATAAATTTTTTTCTCAAAAAAAGAAGCTCAATACATATCTTACCGCATATTTCTTTTCTAAAAAAAACAAATATTGAATATTTGCGAGAGAAAATAAAAATAATTGAAAATAAAATCCTAAATGAGAAGGGAGACATCTAAGAATATGAGGGAAAGTTATAAGCGCTTATATACTGGGAAGTTAACAAAGAAAATGAAGTAGATATAGCATATATAGATGAAACATAATTTATTTAGGCGAATAACATGGGATGAATCGTTGAAGGTAGTATTTTAGAAAAGAATACATTAAGGTTTTATTTAAACAGATGAATGAACTACCACAAAGCATATTCTAAGATGGTGGTGATAATTAAAAGTGCTTAATTTAATGCGAATATTTGTTAAGTGAGAATTTATGAAGGGCATTAAATTAGAGATTGAAGGCTCAGAAAGAGTCCCTGGTTCATTTGAAAATAAAATGAGGAATTTAAGAGGTAAATAAATAATTGATAAGTAATATTCAAAGGTTTAGAATTCATTTGAGGCAATTTTCTCACTATTTTACTTTCAAACAGCTACCACACATCCATTAGACTGCAGTTTTCTGGTTGCTTTTAAAATTATAACTAAGAATGATCATAAGAAAGCTACAAATCTTCTGAAAAGATAAATAAATAAATTAAAAAACTATAATTATGATAATTTATAATGTGAGTGTGTGTGATTATAACCATTAATTTACGATTACAGTAGGAATTGACAAAAAAATATTTATTTTATTTGCTATAAAAATGTTTACAAAAGATATTCAAAGTGGGGTATCATAATCTATTTTATTTGTATATGCATTATTATACTCAATGTAACACTGATGCATACATAAGTGAAAATTAGAGAAATAAAGATATAATTGCAATTTAAAATGAGGCTGGGTATATGATAAGCAATTTACATAAATATATAATTTATAATTGCCAGTCAATATTTCTAAACGACTAAGTAAACACATAAGTAATATGTCTAAATATCATATATGGGGATGCAACTTCTATAGTTACAATGGTTAATATAGAGAGATACAATAAGAGAACAATGTGGAGAGTTTGAGTTAAATTTTATAAAATTGCAATTAGTTCAACTACGTCATATAGATATGAGACAAATTAGAAATAAAAAGAACAGGACAAAAGGGAGCATGGATAGAACTCCATGCAAAAGGATTCCAGTAAAATGGATTTAACACCTTTAAATCAAATCATTTCATCCAAAAGAAGAATGAGAATGTCTAAAGCCAAAAATAATTGAGAGAAGTCTGATAACGATGTTGACTACTATAAACTGAAAAAAGCCGAAAAGAAAAAGAGGATTAATTAAATTTTCTTGTGAAGGATGAAAGGAGATAATATTATAAATAACAATGGCAATAAAAAATTACAAATAAAACTTAAACCAACATACCATCACGAAAATACCTTCACGACGAGTGGGAACTTCCTCTAACCTTTTTAAAGTATCCTCACCCTTTGTTACCCTTCCAAATATGGCATACTGTGTTCCGTGGAATGTGAAAGAGTTGTCATCTAATATTAAGACTTCCAATTATAAACGATTTCAATACATGATATGCAGTAGTACCTCTCCATCAAGATGAGGAGCATCTCCCAAAAGAATTGAGAAGGAAGAAGATGCACTGTCCGGGTCTGAGTACCTACATCAATATAAGGCCAAAGATGAAGAAAAAAAATAGTTTCCCCACGGACATTGAGTCTAAACTTAAAAAATCACACACATAATTTTGATATAATCAATAGCGAGTATCATTAAATAAGAGCACTGAAAGAGAAAATTGTTGATATAATTTTAAATTGCCGTTAAAAATACAAAGATGTCCTGTTATTGTGCTCAAATGAAAAGATTATTATGATGAAAACTATCCAAGAACATAGTAATGGGATTCCAAAAAAGCTAAGAAGTGTTTTCAGTATGAAACTAAATGATTTAGAGTTTGTACAGTAAATAATAGCATTATTATATTTAACTCTCGTTGAGGACTTTATAAACTTAATGTGAGGCATTGCATGAGCACAAGCCTTTATCAGAGCCCGTGGGTTCTGACTGAAGAAGAATGATGGCTGCAGATGAAGTGAAAGTTTCAGGGATCCAGAAATTTGATGGTAATGATTTTGGTTACTGGAGGATGCAGATAGAAGACTACCTCTATGGGAAGAAACTTCATCTTCCGTTATTGGGGAAATCTGAAATGATGGATGAGGCTAATGGAATTTGTTGGATTAACAAGTTCTGGGGGTTATTCGATTGACCCTATCGAGGTTCTTTGCACACAACGTCGTTAAGGAAAAAACTACTGTAGATCTCATGGAAGTCTTATCAGGAATATACGAAAAGTCATCGACGAATAACAAGGTGCACTTGATGAAAGTTATTCAACTTGAAGATGGCGGAATGTGTGTCCGTTGCTCAACACCTGAATGATTTCAATACTATCACAAATCAATTGTCGTCTGTTGAAATTGATTTTGATGATGTCATACATGTGCTGATATTGTTGACATCATTGTCAAATAGCTAGGAAGCCATGAGAATGACAGTTAACAGTTCTGTAGGTAAATCTAAACTGAAATATGATGATATTTGTGATTTGATTTTGGCTGAGATGTGCAGGAAAGATGCTGTCGAGATCTCAAGTTCGAGTTCAACACTGAATGTTGATTTCAGATGGAGATCGCAGAAAAAGAACTCAAACAGAGGAAGATCAAAATCAAAGTCTGGTCAGCAGATAACCTACTGGAATTATGGCAAGTATGACAAGACAGACAACATAAAGAGGAACTGCAGAAATCCCAAAAAGACAGAAAATGACAGTGCAAATGTGGTAACTGAAGAAACGCATGATGCACTACTGCTAACAATTCATATCTCTGTTGATGACTGAATACTAGATTTAGGGGTTTATTTCCATACAACTTTCCATCGGGAATTGATGTGAAATTATGTTGCAGGTGCTTTGAGAAAGTATAACTGACAGATGAAGAAGTTTTGAATGTGATAGGAATTAGAGATATTGAAATTGCACTTTCAAACAAGAACAAGTGGACTTTACAAAAGGTCAGACACATTCCTGAGTTGATGAAAACCTCATTTTTGTTGAGCAGCTCAATGAGGGCTGTCATTCAGTAGTGTTCTCAAATAGCACCTGGAAAGTTACCAAAGAAGCATTAGTACTGACTCGGGGTAAGAAAACTGACACACTGTATATGACTACAGGTTTACTCAGACGTTGACACATGAGTCAGAGATGCATTATAGGATAGCAGAAGAATGTTATTTTCTTGAAAGGTGGCAGAGCGTCAAGGGCAAGAAAATTGGATTTTGTACACACAGAAGTGTGTGGACCTTCTCCAGTGACATCTCTTGGAGGCTCTATTTACTGTAAAAAGATAAGGTTTGTTGATTTACCAGATGTCACAGTGCAGGGCAGCGATGGAAGTGCAGAGCAAAGTGGGTCCAGGACAACTTTACTGTAAAAAGATAAGGTTTGTTGATTTACCATCTGTCACAGTGCAGGGCAACGATGGAAGTGCAGAGCAAAGTGGGTCCAGGACAACTATTTTTATTGTTCCACAGACAGATGGTGGAGAACCACAGAGCTATGAAGAAATCTTGCAAGATAAAAACTCGAGCAAGTGGAAGCAGATAGAACTTCCACCAGGGAAGAAGACATTACACAACAAGTAAGTGTACCGAGTGAAAACTGAGCTTGATGACAGTAAGAGGTACAAGATTAGACTTGTTAGACTTGTTGAAAAAGTTGAAAAAGACTTTCAGCAGAGGCAAGATATTGCTCATGCAATGAGAGTTATAAGCAGATACAAGAGTACCCAATAAATAGCTTAGAGGAGCAAGACTATGTTGACCCTACTGATATGTTGACAAAGGGTGTTACTCTTAAGAAACATAAGTTGTTTGTAACTTCAGTTGATCTTCTAGCTTGAAGATAGGAGCTTTGAGTTGCAGAGGTGGAGGATATCATGTTTGAAAAAATGAACGAGTAGTCATATATAGCGTACATTTCTGCTATGATCATCAATAAATGTGACGTAAGCTTAGTCGTGGGCTTAGTCAGATATCTTCTTTTGCGATCAACTGCTACAGGCGAGAGATATCTCAAAGGCAGTTTTTAGGGCTTAGTTGTGTTTTGCAGAAGAAAGAAGAAAAAAGAAAGAAGAAAGAAGAAGAAGAAGAAGAAGGTTTCTCTCCCTTGATTTCTTCTTGGTGGCTTGTGGCAGAAGAGAAATAGGATTTCTCTTGCACGTGAATTAAGCAAGTGGTTCTTCTATTTTTCATCTTCTTCGGTGCTTATCTCAGTGTAGAGAGAGAGAGAAGAAGAGAGTGAGGAAGTGAGAAATCCCTCTTGTAAGTCGAGACGATCGACTGGTGTAAATTCCTCAAGTAGTAAAATCCTCTGTAACTCCATGGACGTAAGCAATTCCCCAAACCACGTAAATCTTGCACGTGAATTAAGCAAGTGGTTCCTCCATTTTTCATATTCTTCGGTGCGTATCTCAGTGTAGAGAGAGAGAGAAGAAGAGAGAGTGAGGAAGTGAGATATCCCTCTTGTAAGTCGAGACGATCGACTGGTGTAGATTCTTCAAGTAGTAAAATTCTCTGCAACTCCATGGACGTAGGCAATTCGCTGAACCACGTAAATATGTGTGTTTCGCTGTGTTCTTTTCTGATGTGAATTTTTTGTTCTATTTTTTGCTTTGTCGTCGATCACTCTATTTTATTTTATATACCACAACAGCCTTAACCTTCTCAATTAAGAATGGCAAAATGCTCAAATTTAATTTTGTGTAGATGGCTTCCTATTCATGTTGTAGGATTATGGAGCAACATGAATAGAGAAGATGAGGGATGGCTGTAAAACCTTGTAAGCTCCCATGTTTTTATCATCTATGGTCTGCCAATGAACCCTACCTTAAAACTAATAAGAATTCATAAGATTATAGGCCATGTGTTTGGAGTAGTCGTTTGCTTTGACCACAGGGCCTCACATTAGAAATTATAGTTTTCTTCATTTAGTTTAGTCACCAAGGATAACATGTGATAAGTTTGCCAACGAGGTCAATATCGTGGCAAGCCAAACTTAACAAATAGTTTTCTTTCTTAAAAATAGCCTAATAGAATTGTCATTAGCGCATGACTTATGTGTGATATAGGGGCAATTTTAGGCTTGAAAGATTCATAGCCATTTACCCTATTGTTATTGGCTTGAATGATAAAAGAATGACCTACTTATTCACATTGAAATGATATCGATTCTTTTAAGAGCATTGATTGGTCATTAACTTTGATGTCATAATTATGTTTTAGGTAAAAGGGTGATGGCATAAAGCATAGAGCAGATATTAAAACTCGTAAACATAAAATATGCTGCATGTGTTTTTATCGCATATAAGTATTTCACCTTTTGATTGTAGGAAAAGCATTTAAACAGAGTTCTTTAGAAGTAAAGTCTTATAGCATAATGTTGTGTTCTTTGCATACCATCATGTTCATTAAAGTAGGTGCATTTATTTGAGTATATAAGGGCTTTGGTTCCTCAACAAGCTTATTAATGACAGCATGCACAGTACCTAATAGTTTATCATTGATTTTACTTATAGATGTTCTCGTAAGGTTATGATCCATTGGAGAACAATCCTCAATGACTCTTCAGTCAATTGTTGTAGTAACCTCCATTAAGTGAGTAAATATCTTATTGGCATATTTCTTTTGGGAGCATATAATTCCTACATCGATTTACAAAGAGTAATCAACAGAGTCTATTATCAACACAATATTCAAAGTTACGCGTTCGAATATTTGTGCTATGGTTTTTACAAGAACTTTTCAGTATATTATAGCCGTCTTTTATATAGTCTGGAAAGTCTCAGGTGTACTTAGCCAACAATTGAAACTCCATCAAAACTCCTTGGTCCTCAAAGACTTCACTATTCTTTTCAAAAGCTTTTTTTTTCTTCTCATTACAGGACATAAATTGAATTATATAACCAAATCACTGATCGACACTTCTTGATAGCCATTTTCATAATCTGCAATTGAACATATGAGACGTTCTCCAAGTCTAAGGCGTCCTTAACTTGCTTTTTCTTATACCTCTTTGCCTCCTTCGTAATGCTCTTTATTTAATGCCATCCTTGACCGCCATCTCTAGTAATCTTGAATCGTTCCTTGGAATTCCTGTATTCCAAGGCTTTCTAGCTTCCTGAGAGATACTACTTGGTTTATAGGTCCTTGATAGCTTATCCTGATGTCCGGAAACCATCTTTTTTCACTACCTCTCCTTCCTCTTCTCCTTTTGTTGCTTGCCCTCATCTCCTTGCTAGGCATCACTTGGATTATGCAAAAAGATAAGGTATAGAATAAAAAATGAAAAATATTATCCCTCACTACAAGCGGTCGCTCCATTAAAGACCACCAACCCTGCATCCCGGGTTTCGTTCTTGTCGTATACTTGTCCCCCTTAAAAATTTCAAAGATCTCTTCCCAAATTATTTCATAATCAGACTATATAAGCACGTCCATGTCATATTATACAAGAGACTCGCTCCTCACATGGTCTACTGACTACAAGAACAAAAGACTCATAATTGATGATATGAAAGTGTTATAACGGCGCCTGAGGGCTTTAGTCATTTAACATTGAAAATTATTTAGTATAAACAGGGCTAATATATTTAGGTTTGGAGCATGCAGGTTTATTATTGTTTTTTGGAGTCTTAGGGTTAGGGTTCGGGGAAGACTTCCCACCTCTCGAATTGTAGATGCTTATGCTTATCTTATGTATTCGTGTTGAGTTGTTAGGATGATTGAAGAAAAATATTTATTTTGCCCTAATTTCTGTGGAAAATCATACTGATTTATGTGTCAGATCCTATCAGAAGGCCGCTAGTAGCATATCTACTAAAGACATCACAAGGTTAGCTTAATGCTTCCCTATTGCCTACCATTTCACCAAGCTTTCAACCAAACACTTACAAAATAGAGGTTCTCATAAGTGTCCCACTCTTCACCACTTTGCTAATGAATATCTTATACTTCTCTGCCTCACCTTCACCCTTAATATTATATATATATATATATATATATATATATA